GGTCAGCCCGCCTCTCGTCGTATCACTTAATACCAGAGGTAAAAAGAAAACATTGGGAAATTAGTATGGCTGCTGGCAGCAATGGGTGTGGGACTGATCTTATGACGTTCTCCGTCCCGTCACAATGTACCTGGCAAACCCAATGTATCCATCTCACCAGGTGGTGACGGGGACTTCCCGCCTCTGAGAAATCATCCTGCAGGAGAACTCTCGTCAGCTGCAACACGATACACGGGTCGGCTGGAGATTGCATTTTATTTTAATGTATAAACAGTTTTAAGGTGAGTGGCGCCTCTCTAAAAACAGTAAATGACCAGTTTCAATGACTAAGAATAAAAAACATTGTTTTCATAGATTTACATCTCACGTTGAGGTTGCACATGTACTTGTACAATAGTTCATTTTATGGTATCTAGATTTGTCTATAGTCTAGTGGCCTAGCATCCTAGCTTTCATTTGTGAATAAGCCTGGTTCAATACCAGTGTTACTTATATCATCTTTTTTTTTGTTTTATTATATAAAAATATCTATAAAAAATATCGTCCCGGGCATGACGTTAAACTGAGATCTGGGTGGAGAGGACTCATAGCCATAGTGAAGGCAACCTGTCTAGGGGAAGGCAACCCCAAAGTCACACCACTGTCCTTGCAGTTTGAAAAAGGTTGATGGTCGGGCCAGCACCCCTTCATCGAAAAAAAATATTTCGCTTTTAAACCCAAAACAGAAATGCATGTTAGCCAGAGGGCTCCGTGAAGGAGATTGGATAGACAGAGAGCTGTGGCTTTTGGGTGTTGGGGATATGACTCCTTAAGTTGTAGAAATCCCAAATAAAAAAAATATATATATAAAAATATTGATTTAAAAATTATATACATTTATATATAATTTTGTACCATAGTTCAATTGAATTTTACATTTGAATTAAATTAAATTCACTTTCATTAAATGATTAATTAAATATCATAGATTTGCAAATTTTAATTTTAAGGTTTTTTTTAATGTTTAATGATTAAAGTAATATTTTGTTTATCTCATTCATTTCGTTATTTTGTATTAAGAGAAATATTATTAATTCATTATTTCATGTATTAATTTGTAGCATTTCATTTCATTTGTTTATTATTTTCAATATACATATATTTTCTGCTATTCCGCTTTTTTATACATATTTATCCTCAATGGATTTCTTTTTTTTTTTAATATTTTCACAATTAACAATTAATTAATTTGTGGCATAACCAGTGCCTATGGATTTGATAGAGCAGATTTGGTGGTTCACTTTTGAGCGCCCGCTGTCTTCACATTTAATGTACAGTATCGTTATATATAGATATATATTTTGTAATAATTTAAACATATTGTAAGTGATATCAGAAGATAAAGGAGCAAACAAATTTTAAGTATCCAGTTAGTATCCATCATCATACCATAACAGTAGAAGAATTCCTTACATCACCCATTCCACTTTCCTTACCCCCTAAAGCAATTAATCCTTCTGAGGTCAAACATCACTTACAAAAACTTCCTCTCCGTAAATCTCCTGGATACGACCTCCTTACCTCTCAAATCCTTCGACAACTCCCTTCTAAAGCTGTCATATTTCTGACTTATTTATAAAATACCATCCTTAGAACCACCCACTTTCCTCTTCTGTGGAAACATTCCACTATTATCCTGTTTCCGAAACCAGGCAAATCTCCCAACACGCCTACGTCCTACAGACCAATTAGCCTACTTCCAATCCTCTCCAAAATCTTTGAAAAGATCCTCCTGAAACGAATCCTACCTTTTATAGAATCCCAAAATCTTCCTTCCCATCAGTTCGGATTTCGTTCACAACACTCCACAGTCCAACAAGAACTCCGAGTGGTCGATCATATTTCCGCAGAACTGGAAAGCAAGCAATATCGCTCGGGTGCTTTTCTGGACATAGCTCAAGCTTTTGACCGGGTATGGCACGCCGGACTTCTTTCCAAGCTGAAAACCTATCTGCCTCAGTCCTTGTACCTAATCCTCCGCTCATACCTCTCTGATCGTACCTTTCGGGTTCGCTGTGGTTCAGAATTTTCCGACTCCTACCCAGTTGAAGCCGGTGTTCCTCAAGGTAGCGCCTTGGACCCCGTCCTTTATATTCTTTTTACCGCCGACATCCCAATACCTTCCTTGCAACATTTGCTGATGACACCACCATCCTATCATCCAACTCAGATCCAGAAATAGCATCTTTAAATCTTTAAAGGCACCTCTCCATGATTGAGCACTGGTGTAATAAATGGCGCATCAAAGTAAACGAATCCAAATGCAAACACATTACCTTCACACTCCGCCGCAGATCCTGTCCATCAGTCCACTTTAATTCCATCCAGCTTCATTTTTCAGACACGGTCCGGTATCTTGGCTTTATCTTAGACCGAAGACTAACGTGGAACCCACATACTACACTTAAAAGACAAGAACTTAACCGACGATACGGCCAATTATACAGACTACTGACCAGAAAATCTCAACTTTCAATTGACAACAAATTACTCATCTACAAGACAATCCTGAAACCCATTTGGACTTATGGACTTGAACTTTGGGGGACAGCAAAGTTCTCTAACATCAAACGCATCCAATCCTTTCAATTCAAAGTCCTCCGAACAATAGTCGATGCTCCGTTCTATGTAACCAACAAAACCCTACATCATGACCTTAATATCCCATTTGTCCTTGACCTTATCCCTGAAAAATTTTCAAAATTCCATCAGGACCTTATCAATCATCAAAATCCCCTAGCCCAATCTCTATCTAGTTCCACTCATCCCTACAACCCTTCTCGAAGATTGAAGCGGCAGTGGCCCAGAGATCTTTTATAGTATTTATTTTGGAGTTCTGGCAATGGCCAGATTCTTCACTCACGACATGAGCGTATGTGGCTAAAGCGCTCTCGCTCAAACTCCACCGGCTTTTGCACCGGTGAGGAGGATGAGAGACTAGCGCAGAGATCTGGGTTCCCCGCCTGATTGTATATATTGTATATAGGTATGATTGTATTTTTATGCTTTTTAATTTACTTATATTTAGGTTATTTTATTGTATATAGTGTTTATTTATTATTATTTAGTTATTGTTTTACTTTGTTATTTTTTTTTTTTGTATATACATTGTGAATGTGTTCATTTATCAATATAATTATTGTCCCTGTGACAGAATATTGTATGTCTAAATAAATAAATAAATAAAAAAAAGTATCGAATATTTCAAATGCATTTCTGCCAATTATTAGGAAAAGAATAAAATTTAGAAAATAGTGGTTATTACAGGGGTTAGTCTTTTCATGAGGTTAATTATATAAAATTTTAAAGATGTATTTTAAATTTTATTAGAATGAATTTATCAGGTATTTTTATTATTTTCATTATTCTTTATTCGATTGACGTTTCTGGCTGATTTTTGCCCATATTATAAAATCTTATCATTTAATAATTTCCTCTCCGTATCGTTGTAGGACTTAGTACATATTATTATTCTCATGATTTTTAAAACTATTATTCGTAAAAGATTATGTCATGCAATCTAGTACTACAGATTTTAGTCAACTCCGCTTAATGTTCTTTTTTTTTTTTACTTTGTTGAATATTCTATACCTAAACTGCACTATGTACTTTTTTTTTATAGCTATATATATATATATATATATATATATATATATATATATATATATATATATATATATATATATTAATAAAATAATTTGGGGGATTCATTCCTTTTCATTTTTTTTATTTTTCCAGTCTTGTTATGGTAAACTTGTAAGTTTAAAAAATATTATTTTGGCCCTCATCAATATTAGATATTACAGTCAAACCATTGAGTAAAATTTTTCGGAACTAATTTCATCATCAAAACTAATCTACTTCAAATAAATTATCTTGTTTATTATTTAAATGATAATGATAGTCGTCATATTGCCTGAAATCGCATTAAATATACGGTGTTACGCATCACCGTTGAGCGTTATATTACCAACAAACCCCTCTAAATTGCCTTGACATTCTAAGCTACATTAATATGGATATAGGCTGGAATCCCTTCACGCGTATCAGCGTTGCTGGTAAACCCTTTCATTAACATAAATGACACATATCACGAATGCTATGGATTAGATTGTTTACTGATACCGAAAACCGTGTTTTGGAGCCATTTATAGTCATATTTTTTTTTCTTTCATGCACCCTTATTGATTATTATATTTATTTATTCATTTGTATTGAATTACCAATTACTAGGAGCTGGTTTATTATTTGTTAATAAAAATAAATAAATATTCGAAAAAAAAACAATCTACTGATCTCTTAAGAATTACGTGAAATTATGTAAAACGTTTTGTGGCAATTCCGTGTAAAATTATAATAATAGTATAAAATATAAATAAATATGATAAGGCAAGATTCAAATAATATGTAAACCGAAATACTCTTCTTTTTAATTATTTCGATATATTTCATTTTATATCAGTAAATATTTCTTATAAATTTTATTTAAATATATATGTAAATTCCACAGTAAAATAATAATACTAAAAGACAATTTATATAAACTAAAAGAAACTAAACTAAGTCACTAAAATGAAATATATCAATTGATATACAGCAAGATGAATATCATACGCTTAAGAGTAAGATAATATACTGATAAAAATATGTAAGGAGGTAGCATGAATAGTAAGATTTTTTCCATATGATGGGAATCTAAGAAAGCAATTATACAAAGATTATAGCACATCACATTCTTCTTGTTGGATTGAGGGATCTCACATTAAACAAAAAAAAAAAAATGCATTACAATATAAACATTTAGAAAACGTTGATGACAATGCCAAAAATATTGGGTTCATTCCTTTCACTACCCCTCAATACTGAAATCTACCAAAGGCCAGGCCTAATTTGTTCAACCAGTCTGTTCTTTATATTAAATAGAGATAAATGTAAATAAAAAGAGGTGACTAATTACTGACCTGGTGGATGGGTGCTCCAAAGCCTCGGATACCTTGACCTTGAGATGGGCCAACCGGTGGACGATGCAGGTGTCAATGACCTTGTTGATGGTGACCATGGCGGTGAACTGGAGGTCGTGGACTCCGTGGATGAGTGAGAGGCAGGTCTTGAGCAGAAGGCAGCAGGCCGCTGACAGCTCCCTTCGCCGTCCCTCCTCGTCCAGACCCCCGAATCCACGAGGATCGCTGAACGTCTCCAAGGAGGTCTGCAACATCGGGAATACGTTGGTTACAGAATTAGTTACAATAAGTATATATATATTATCTTAATACTGTCAAGTGATCATTTAGAAATTATCCAATGGTTAAAGCTCCAGTGCCTAGCGACGCCGGTTCGAATCCGGCCTGGGAGTGGTTAACTTTTATTTCGTGGCGCTCCCACGGAATGAAAATTGACCCACCCACTCTGGTTAGAATATATTTGGTTATACCCCTAGAAAAACCCCTCCGTATTCCAGAAATGGTGGATAGGGGTTATGTTATTAAAAAAAAAGAAGGTTGAAGCTCCAGTAACATTTCTATTTTCTCTCTCTGACACTATCGTTTCAGCGCGATTATAAAATAATGAATTTTAGTGAATAAGGGACAAGAAAGAATTTATTGGGCCAAATTATAAATTAGCAACATATTAGATTTAGATTGAAAGTGTTGAATATGGGGGCCTAAGTCTGTATGTTGAAACATCGTTAAAAACAATGGTTTGTGTGATAAATACTGACTATGAAACGAAATGAAAAAAAAAAATTAATCTGAGACAAATTTCTCTATATATAATTACAAGAGTTTAGATAAATTGTCTGGTTTAGTGTTTACTTAAGATATATCTTATAATACTTCTTATGGATATAAATATTTCTTACATTAGTGAGGAAATTTGATTATGAAGTAGGCGATTGAATAACTGGTGTTTAAAGGAGTGTGACGAGGAGTATTGATGAATAGAGAGGGTTATGATATTCCGAAAAGAGATAGTACGAATGCTAAAGATATGCTGAAGGAAGTGGTTTAAAAGAGAGAATATATAAATCAATAGGTTGAGATCTTGTGCTAAGTGAATTGGAAAACGTAGAGTGAGAAGTTCTTGAATGCAAATAGGTTTTTTAGCTCTAAGGATCTGGTAGATAACCCAGGACAAGGGTTCTCAACCTAGAACAACTGCGTTACGTTAATCGTCTCGGCGAGAAAACTTGTCCCCGCCGATGTCTAACATAAGCTTTATCGGTCATCGATAAGTTTTCAATTAAATGTTTAATATTTATTTTAACAAACATCTAATAATTAATTTTAAGTATGTGCGCTCTGAAAATAGTAATTTATTTTTTCAATCATCATTATTCTTTTACGTGATATGCTTCAGATGGACCAGATTTTAGTTCAAGTGTTTTAGAAGTATTTTTCTTAAATTTTAAACGTATATTTGAAAGTCTAACAAGATTTTGAAAACATAAAATTCAAAAGTATAAATGAATTTTTCGGAAATAGTAATTCATTTAACGATATGTCATCACTATTGTTTTGTTTAATCTCTTTCTTGAGTGGTAAAAAATAAATAAATTGTACTGTTGGTAACAGTGGTAAAACTGGAGATCGGCAAACTTTGTCTAATTAATTAGGTAACAAAAACTCATGAACACTCATTGCTTTCCACTGTATTTGAGAGATAATTTGATAAAAAAATTGAAAATAAAGGAGGCTTACAAAAACATTGGCTCGTTTGGCGTGACCTCCAGCCCCCACATGTCAAAATATCGAGATTGTATAGGACAAACGGCCCAAATATATTTGTAGGCCACCTTTTTCTATCGATTTTGTAATAAAATTATGTTACGATTCAAGTAGGAAGCAAATTTATGCTTGTTTAATACATAATTAAATTAATTAATTTAATAAAAACCACCATTTTTCATAATTTTAGTAGATAAAAAAATTTTAGGATATGATGAAGCCACTCACGAATTTTTTGGCGGATGTTAATAGTTTGATTGACCACAATTATCATGCAGAATTCCTAAGACGACTGAGAAGGGTCTGGATGAGGGATCTACTTACATGATTATGTAAGTAAGTAAAAGCCATGGAAGGGATGCCACTGGGTATTGCTTTTCCTTATCAAGCCTTTTTTATTTTATTGCTGAATGTGCCGAGAGATTGGGGGTTGATCAGGGTCATCGAAATGTGAAAGCTCTACGGCAGTCGCTACGAGAAAATGCATTTGAGGAATGGGCCAACTGCAGGTGGCAGGGTATTGGTGTTCGCCATTTTAAAGAGACCCCGAAAGCGAATAGATACATCTACGAAAAGCAAGTACTTTCTGGGTCTGAATGGTCGAATGCCCTAAAACTAAACATTAATTATGCACCCCTGCGTGGAGTCCCAGGAGTCAGCGGACAGGTCAGAGAAGTTGGGTCCCTCTGCCGTAAATGCGGCAGAGAGTCTGAAACACCAGCACATGTGCTGGGAAAATGCCCCAACAACTCCCTCCTCATAACACGTCGTCACCACCGGGTCAAGTTCGAATTGATGAGGCTCCTTAGGGAAAAAAAATTCACCTGCTTTGACGAGGTATATTGCATCGATAGTGAGGGCTCTACGAGATACGCTGATATCGTCGCATTTCCCAAGACAGGAAGGACAGCGCTGATCTTGGATCCAACTGTCCGCTTTGAGAGCAATGACCTCGATCAGGCGGGTGAAGTGGAAAGGGAAAAGAAGAACACGTACGATAAATGTATCCCTTTCCTAAAAGAGAAATTCCGTGAGACCTTCGGAGAGAGAGAGTTCACCGTGAGAGGCCTCTGGTTTGGGTCTCGCGGAACTATCCCAAAAAGAACAAGGAGCTTCCTCGAGGAACTAGGTGTCGACATTAAGGACGTAGCGAGGTTGGCTGAAAATATAGTCCTCGACTCCCTGGGAATCATTCACCACCACGTGCATGGCTAGCCCGAGAGTTTTAATTTATGTATTTGTTTATTTATTTTTTTAGTGAATAATTGAAAACAATAGCGATAAAGAGAGAGAAGTGAGAGAAAGGGAAACTTAATGTTAAATAAAAAAAAAAAAAAAAAAAAAAAAAAAGCATGAACAATGAGAAGAGGGAAAAAGGAAAAAAAAAAAAAAAAATTATAAGGATAAATAAAATAATAAAAATGTATATATATATATATTTCTGTTTTACTAATATTAACTAATACTTCTGTATATTTATATATAAGTTCATATATTGTCTTAAGGATAGAAGAGTATGCTGTGTGTATAGCAACCCAATGTAATTGGGCAGCAATCCTTTATATTTTATATTTTATGAAAATAAAGTGTTTCTCTCTATTACTTTATTTTTCTCACGATTCTCCTAGCCCATCTGGTGATTGTCGATGGTTGTAATTTACAGGTGCGGATTGATAAATAAAAGAGATAAAAAAATAAATAAAAATAATAATTTTTTTTTTGGTCTTCAATTCTTCATCCGCACCTGTCATGGTAGTGACAATTAGCAGAATAATAATTTGATAAAATGATGTCTATCGCGGACTATAATTGTCACAGGCGTTGAATGAACAATCTTAAACCTGTATGACATAACAGTATTGCGGGTAAGGTAGACAAACTGCTGCTGGTTTCGTGAGATTCTTTCTAACTTGATTTAAATAGTGATCCAACGTATGCTATGTATATATTTTTATTTACTAAGTTCCGACAATCAGTGAATTTGATGTCGAGGTGTAGAAGATTGGAATAGGTCTTGGAATAAGTTTCAAGAAGAGGAGTGCCCAGTGGCGTCCTTCCTCTCTTGAATTTAATATTAATAGTTAGTGGAGTCTAGTATAATAATAATAGTAGTCCCTCATCCAGCTTTTCTTAAGCCTCCTTCGGGTGCTATCGTGCATGTTAGTTGTGGGCATCTCTCGTATCAGTGAGTTGGTATGTCAGTGTTAGTTATTGTGAAATCGTTTTTTGTATGTTCGTATATGGATGTTAACTGTTGGCATGTGTAGGCCTTCATGTAATGTTACTGATGAACCAGGGATCCTTGGTGATGGTCCTGAAAGTTTTTGGTATAAACGTCTTTAGTATACGTACGCGAGTCTTTTTGGCTGTACCGTATATTTGTGAATCGTATGTCCAAATGGGCTTAAGTTGGTAAGTATACGTGTTCAATTTCTCTCTAAGTACACACATATTCAAAGTCTGTCTAAGTACATATATTTAGTTTATGTATTTAAAAAGACAGCGTATAAATTGCTATTTTTACTCTTTAAAAAAACAACAACTAATTCAATGACAGTTCAGTGAATAATATGTCAGAAAAAAAGGTTTCATTTTTTTTTTTTTTTTAGTTGTCCTGGTATATGCCTTGTCATATATAATAGGACATTTTAGTAAGTACCTATTTTGATTATATTTACTATTAGAGAGACTATAATAAAAACCACTAATTTTCATCTTATCATTTCCTAACAATATTTATGCCCCATAACTCCACTTTCGCTTAATAGCCTGCTCTACTCTATCATTAATACCCTTCCCCATTCTTTCGGTCCTCTACTTTTGGTCCTTCCTTTTCTTCAAGATCCTGCGTATCTTTTATTCATAGAGCACCACTCTTCGAGGAAGGGATTTCCCATCGTCCACATCTTGAATGTGCGATGCCTCCCCATTCACTACCCTCCAGTCAATACTACCAAAATAGAGCAACAACTCTCAACTCTTCTGTATTTACATGTTTTCTTTTCTGTTCTGTCGTCGAGTGGGAAGTTTGTTTAGTCTGTTGGCAGTTTGTCGTAAAAGGATTTTGAGCCAAGATAAAACACCGAGCATATGAAATATAAAATGTCAATTTTTTTTGGATATGATTTGATTCAACCTACTATTATTCATACTTATCTATACCGTACTTTCACTGCACCTAATTTATTATAATTTATTTGTTATGCGTAAGGTTTTCGTTTTTCAATAACCTGAAGTCATACCGGGCTGGGTATATAGATTTTTTTAAGAAAAATTGATGTACTCTGTTTCATTTTAATGTCCTATTAACCTTATTTTGAATTTTAAGATATATTTTAAAGATATCTAATTACAAAGATGGCGCGTAGAAAAACATTTTTTTTTAATTTTTTGTAAAAAAAGATCTTTTTTTTATACTTCAACGCATTTCACCGTGTTCAATTCTTTTTTACAAGAAAGATAAATCAATGTATTTTTGATATTTAAAAATA